CATAATTGATTATGACAATAGCATTTTTCTGTTTTGCGTTTTCAACAATACAACTGAAATTGAATGGGTGCATATTTTAAAATAAAAATATTATTTGAAGTTCAGATTGATTACTTTACAAAAAATGATTATTCTTGTTTTTTACTGTTCTTTTTTCTTCTTTTAATTTATTCCACTAATCCATTTAAATCATTTATTTATTTAGTTTCTTTAAAGCTGCAGTCCGTAAGTTTTGCCTCTTTGTCGCCATCTCTGTTTGAAAACCTGCAATTGCAGCTGTTTGCGGAATTATCTTCCTTGTGTGGGTTGTGCTCCGGCACGGCTCCAGCGCGGATGAATCAAATGTTTTGAGGAGTATGTGTGGTAGTCAGTCACCACACCGGTGTGGATATTTACTGTACGTCGCAATCACAGATTCTAGCCTACGTCTCGGAATATATGACCCAAATAGGAATTTTCACCATATATTGTCATCTGAACAAGTAAGTAACAAGTCTGCCACGTTTGTTCTGACCAACTGAGGAAAAAAGCATTACAATAAATCGCGCTACCAATGGTAATTTAATCTAAAGATCGGTTATCTCATATCACATCAAACCGTGCAAATTGTTATTATTGTTATACTTTATTCTCAAATGATTAATGTTAACAACATCAGCATTGCCTATAGTGTGTATTAGCGTGTAGATTTCAATTTCTGTACAGTCTAATATCTAATTGTCATACCATTCGAATTTCATATTAACAAATTATTTTAATCCAAAAAGCAAATTATCCCTTCGAACTGGTTGTCTTTAAAATAAAAAAATTGTGTAATCCCAGGCTATCTGTAATCAGAAGCACATTTAAAAATGGAATATAATTTCATTTCATTCACATGTGTTTCATAAAAACATAGTCCTTTCTGGATTACAATCCGCCATCAAAATGATAGATTTAATTATTCCAGCTGCTGTGAGGAAAGGCTATAAACGATCCACCACCTGCAGCACCCTCACATGCGATATAGCCTAGTAGCCGGGACAACTTCTTTATGTTTACAGATGTGACGTAATGACGCAGCAGCATGCTCGAATTTCCCGCGAAAACCTACCCGTACCATTCAAATTAGAAAACATTACTATAAGCTAACCGTTGTGAATCGGGCTAAAGTAAGACGGTAGTTTTGAACACTGGCTTGTTATGTACTTGCTCAAATATTGATTTCGGATCATTTTTAACCAAAAAAAGTTAGCGGACTGCAGCTTAAATAAGTAACATTACCATAGAGGTCTGGGGCCTGATGTATAAATGTGTAATGGAAATGTGTGTACGCTATTTTCCACGGACATATCGGATTTATAAAAAATAAACTAGGCGTAAATATGTGCGGCACCGTGCGTACACTCTAGACCATGCATACGCACTCTTTTACTGGAGTGAGCGAAATAATGAAGCAAACAGAATGATTTTAAATAATTTTTTCAAGTTTTACATTTGACATTTAGATTAAATCTGACACTCTTAATAATGAAGTGAAGTAAAAATGAAGTTAAGCACTGAAATTTCATGAAATTATTATCTAGAATTTACAAAATTTTTATATGAATTTAAACAGACATATTTGTAGTGTATGTGCTGCTTTCGAACAATTTTCCTGTGGTATGCGAAGAAGGCGAAACTTTTATTCTCGCTGTAGTATTGTTGCTGCCGCCACGACGTGAAGGTGCTGTGTGTTTCGTTGTAAAAGTGAAACTACTTTGTTTGGCCTTCTAAAAGAGGACGATATCCGCTTTGTCATGCCTAGAGCTGATCCGTGCTGGTCGCTGAGGGAATACATCAACTTCGCGCTGTGGATCGCCGGATCGGCTTTCACCGTGGACGAAGCGGAGTCCAGCCCGGGGTCGTCACATGTGGTTGCCGCAAGCCCACCGGCCGCTCCTTCATGGAGCTGATGATTCAAACACTGAATCCACTGATGATTCAAACGTGAGTTTTGAGCAATGTAGAGTAGCGCTTGTCCATGTTCTGAGAAAATACATTTGCGTGAATAATGATCACTGATGTGAACTTGATTCATCTGATGGCTTTGGGACATAGACGGTAACGACAGACATAAGGATGCACTCGTTGATCAAACAGTCCAGTTTGAACAGGTTTGATGACAGTACTCTAGAACCTCTGTTCAATGGTGTCGCGCACAGACAGAAGCCTAATATAACTCCAGTCGTGCTCTTCCCAATATTGTGACAAACACCATATTTAAAAGATAGAAATTGAAGGAAACTGTAAGATATGCACATTTTATTTTCAAAATGTTTTGTTATTGACGCGGTGAGTCAGGCAGTTATTTACACTGCAAAATAATAAGGCCTATCTCCATTCAAATATAGGCTAACATTCTAAAATATATGCTTACTTTATAGGCAAAATTGCATAAATTTGAATAGCAATGTGATGTCTCAAAAAGCATTTATAGTACGTATCTCATATTTTCCTAACGTATTGTACCCTTTATGCATATTAAAACTAGGCGTTGTAAGCTCCATATATGGCTATTTCCGGGAGGAGACGGGGTGGAGATCTTCCGCTGACTGGATATTACAAAGGGAATTTTTTGCAGGTTCTGGCGTATGCATGGCTTTATAAATCTGAAATCTGACTTTTGTACGTACGCAAAAAGAGGGCTTTTTTTTTTTCAATAAAGAAAAAAAAAAGTTTATTTTGCTGTGAAAGTGCATGATAGCCTACTCTAGGCTGCCCATGAAAGCTTTTTTTTAGTGTAGATATAATATAGTTAATATAGCAATATCTACAGTATAAATATCTTCTAGACTATATGATGATATGATGACTAAAAAATGCCCACCCAGAATATCTGCCAGCCCACCCTTCTATAGCCGTCAAGAACCGGGCCTGGTTGGGCCACTTCTCCCCTGTGCTCATGAGTATGCTACAGTATACTAGATGAGGACCTTAGTGCCTTAGAGGCGCTAGAAGGGCATAAAAAGACAGATCCCAAATTTAGCATGGTAGTCGTTCCTCAATGCAAGTGCCAGATCTCACAGAACGTGTTACTATACAGTTGTAAGGGCTACCCTAGACTCCCTTACTAAAGAAGTTATAATAGGTGCCTATGCACCTTCTAAGCTTGGCCCATAATCTCTCGAGATCCAGGAGGATATTTTCATGTCTTTAACTCCCCCCAAACCTCTGGTACCCTCAAGCCAAATCCATAACCCCTTAAATGAAAGTCTCAACGCACACATGGTGCACAAGGCCCACATATCCCTCTCAGGAGTGCATTTCGTGCAGCTGGGACAGGGCTCCATGCAGCAGAGAGTCTATTTCTGGAAGATTCTGTCATCCGTGTCAGTGTTAAGGTGCCATCACGGTGCCTGGGGTCACACACATGTACTTTAGCACCTTTAAAATCAGACGGCCTCTGTGATTGATGAAGTGAGCAAGGAGCATCTCGAAGACTCTGTGCACAGACCCACACCTGTGATCCTCCTGTCTTATTGCAAGACCCATGTTATACACAAGTAAGAGGGCAAAGGCAACGCTCGACTCTCTTTTCTGAACCATTGCGTATTTCAATCACTAAGTAAGAGTGACAGGCCTTTGATGTTAGTGTTTAGCTCAGAATACCTCATTCCATGATAATATGCGTAGCTGCATCTGTAAAACGCTTTTGCCTTTAAGACATATTAATTCACAGACTCACAAATGTTTTTGACAATTACACTGCCTCAAGTGGAGCATTTCCACCTAAATGTGCTTCTCGCCGTTCTAAAGTAAAGTTTTTAATTGCGTGTGGATGCGTTACCACCGCGTAACTTTTTTTTCCTCTTCCTGTTTTTCTTCAGTCATGTAATTGCAGTAGACAATCAGATGCCTGCTTTATGGGCGCATGGTAGAACTGTCACTTCCTGTTGGGTGCAGATAACACGGGAGCTGTCACAACCACTTACCCTGCGCTAATGCACGCCACGTGTTTTCCCAGCTTCACATCTAGCTTGGCATGCAGCTCTTTATCTTGTTAACGAGACATAATGAACAGTTGGTGAAAACTTCAGGCACTTCAGGGGACATGATGCAAACAAAATGCGAGTGCAACCTGGCAAAGTCAATGTGTATACATCTATCCATTGTGGTCTGTAGCTGTGTCAATGATGCAAGCCTGTTTCGTTCTAGTAGAACCAGGAATCCATGTTCTTCTTTTGGAGCACTTAACTTTCCAGAAGTGCTGCACAGTTGTCAGCCTTAAAGTCTTTTCACCAAGATCCTGCTGCATCAAAAGAAAAGCATAATCGTGTCAGAGTGCATATCCTAGAGGACCTAATGTGGCTACTCCTTGCTCTTCTTGAAGTCCCTGCAGCCTTTTGGGAAAGCAATAGGTGGTTTGTTGACCTTGTGGCATGCTGCCATGTGAGATCCAGTGCCCACCCATGAAGAGTAAGTCGCCTCTAACTCTGCATATAGACGCCCAAAATAATTGGGAGTGTCCTATACCTCCTGCTGTGGATCTTTTGTGACTTAAAACATCTTTCATTTTCCTCAACTTCAAGCTAAAGCAATAGTGACCCCATGACACCTGAACTGATGTTTAAAAAATGTGGAAAACTTTAGTTAAAATCTCCTTAAAGACCTCCATTCAGGAACATCTGCTACATGTGGTTTGGTCATCTTTTGTGGACGTGAAAGAGGCGATAAATTTCATTTTGATGAGGGAAGCCTCTTTTAGATTAGCCGCCCAATTAAATCTAGAGACAGAAATAAACAGGCAGACAGAGACTCCACTGTGGATATCTCCATTATCTGGTCACAAGGCCTGTTCTGATGACTGCAATATTTCTGTCGCTTCTTCAGTTTGCTATCCCACAAACACACATTGCTTTGTTCCGCTGCGGTTCCTCTATGAACACACTGAATGTCAGATGGAAATTCTTCGAATTCTGCAAAAAATGGGATGTGTCATATATCCAGAAAGAGGACTCATACAAAAAGGACACTGATAGTTCTGTTTTCCCTTTTTCATTTATTGGCACAGGACAACATTCTGTTGACATTAAAGAACACAAACTTGAGCTTGAGAACAGCAGACATTTCATAAAGAAGGCTTACAGGAAAGGAAGTATAATAAAAAGAACAGAGGGATCTTTTCGTCAGCATATGCACAGCAGATAAGTAAATGTGCAAAAACACATCTCCCTTTCATAAGAAGAGGATTTTCCACCATAAAGGCTACGGACAGAGCAGCTCCAAACCAGATTGGCCACATGTTGTACGTTTGCATGAAGCACTCGGTTTCCCGAAAGATGTTTTAAGTCAATCTTTTATGATCAATAAAGCTGCTATGTTCTCAGGAACAAGTCTCTTGGAACTGGAAAAGCTTTTTTGTCTTGAACCCTTTATATAAATGCTTTAATTTTGTGCCATGAAAACACAAGCACAGATCTTCAACAATGCCTGATTCAAAAATATTTTGAATATTGAAAACCTTTGACGCAGCCAGTGATTTATATAACAGAAGTGGATTAAGCGGTTGAATACTTTAACTGTCGAAAAATATTCACAGCTATCAAAGAAGGGGATTTTGGGGGAAATGACACACTTGTTGTGGATGGATTGAAAAGCACATGGAAATCAGAACACACCAGTGCTGTCTGTGCAGCTACAGCTGGTAGTCTGCCCACTGCCCCAGAGCAAGAACACAACATCCTATCAAACCTCAGAGTACTGCCCACACCAGCGCCAAGACTAGAGGAAAGAGGCGAACGGCAGAAGAAAATGCCAAATGAGGAAAGATATGTGTGGCTTGAAATGAGGGATATCAATGTTATCTTAATTAGTGACTACCTTATGTGAAAGAGATATTAATAGATTTACTTGTTTTGTATTCAGGTTATTATTTAAATTAACTGCCTTTTCATTAGCAAAAGTTTTATTTAAACACAGCCACTATTCTCATTGTTGATTCTGAGGTACTCTAATCCACATAATTTGAATAAACCTTTCACAAACTACACTCATTCTAAACACAAAAATAGCACTACTAATGGACACGAACTTGCTCACACAAAACAAAACAAAAAAGGCAAGACCTGCTTTACGTATTCTGACTGTTTGGGTTAACATTAGGGTTGTGACGCATATTGTGACCATAAATTCAGGATTATTTGACAATCACAACTAGTTATCAAGGCTTTCAGTAGTGACCACTTGGGTAAACTCTGTTCCTCAAAACCACCACAGGAGGTAAATGGTGTCGTACGCCTGGATAGTGCTGGATATGATCAAACCACCTGGTGATATTCAGATATCGCTCTTTCTCCTGTACAGCCAATTCCACCTAAAAAAAGTAAGGACAAACATGACACGGTGAACAATAAAGGGAAAAAGAAATGTGCATAACACTAGAGGCATCCAGTAAAATATCGACAAAAAGTACTTGTTTTTACAGCATTTATCTAAATTAAGATACTATTGACCTTTTACAATATAATATATACAGCATTTTATATATTATAAAATGCAAAAAAAAAAAAAAAAGTCAAAAAGTGTCTTAAGACTAGACTTTTAAGGGTTTTTTAAACCGAGAATGATTCGAAAAAGTCAAGCAAATCAGTAACGAATGATCGCCTTCAGCTAATTCAGGCCTGCACAATAAGTGGCAATGACTAAAAATGCATTTCATACCTGGACACGAGGTGGCGCAACTCGCCACTCAGCTGATCATCCTATCGTTTTTTGACCAGTGAGAAGAATGACTTAAATGTTGGCACATAGCACACACAAACTGGTAATTCAGGCCCAGTTCTACCCTCTAAGCACTCTCAAATGAAAGCAAGAGCACCCCCAGTTGAAGGTTTAATAATAGCTTCATGGATGAAACAGACTTGGCAAACACTCCAGTTGCTATTTGTGTTTGCGTTCTGTGGAGCACCAAAGGTTTCTATTTACAACATGTTTGTGCAGCATTGAGCAAATTAGCCAATCACAGACATATCTATTGGTTTCTTGAAGACAATGGCCAATCAGAGGTGTCTCCCCGCTGAAAACGCGGTTCTGAGTTCTGAAACTTGTATCAGACATTAACTGTTTATCAGACACATACACGCTAGGGCTGAACGATTAATTGCATTTGCGATAATATCGCGATATGAAAAAACAAGATTTTTCAATCGCAGAGG